GGGGGGGGGGGGGGGGGTGTTTTCAAAAATACATAGGACGAAGAACGCTTATTGCAAGCTGGATCGATCTTGAGAAAAAAGAGCATGCAAGGCAGTCAAACCAGGTAGCACTTTTGAGAAGCGACTCGCGAGAGCTGGTCAACGATTGATGACAGTCTTTTAGCTGTGAACTTATTCTGCAAGTGCTTCTGCTGCATCCCAACTCTGCAGAAGGCTGTCCAGGTTATGGTGCCAGAATTAGGGTGTCAATTTTACTGCTTGATCCTTCCTATGCAGTTTACATTATTGGGATGGGGTGAAAGCTGCCAGGTGAGACATGCGGTGGGCTACTTCTAGTTCTGATCGTTCTGAAGGTTGAAACAGTTGCCTTGCAGGAAATGCGGCGTGCAAAGGTCGCGCCGGATGTGATTAGCCAGCAGCCCGGAGCAGCCCAGAGAAGCCCAGATTCTCAGAGTCTTGGGGTGTCAGACCTTGCTTGGAGGCTTCAACTGCACCATCAGCTCCTGTGAGAAGAGCTCGCAGTGGCAGTCTGCCCTTGCAATCCTGGAGGAGATGTGGTCCCGCAAGGCCGGCTCTGGGTTGTTCCCGTGTGCTACCCCCAAGAACCCTACAAACAGCCTGGACAGGCGATAATGATAAAGATTTCAAGACGCTCGGGTCAACTGAGCTATCTGCACCAAACTTGCTGATACCCTCCCCTCTACGGCTCTGGCTCTGTACTCTCCGCGGGGCTTCGGGATACTTTGTAGGCTTGGTGAAAGCCGGACCCTGGACCAGGCTCGACCCGACATTGTCAGCTTCAGTGGAATGATCAGCGCCTCTGAGACGCTCGGCCGGTGCTTCACGGGCTTGGAAGGATTTGCACAAATTGGGAGACCCAGGAAAGCAAGCGAGTGGCAATCTGCACTGACGTGCCTTGGAGAAATGGTTTCGCAAAGCTTCAATGATCCAATCGAATCATCTATACAGGCAAGGTAGTGCCACGAGGCGACCGGCCCCCCCCCCCCCACGTCTGACACTTGATGGCAGTGTCAGGCTGCTCCACACGCTTCTGGGCCGTAACATGCGGCCCGATGAAGTCTGCTGGAATGCCGCCATCAGTGCATGTGGCAAGGCACCTCGCGATGACATACTCCTCATTAGATTCTCAAACATTCCCAAGGGGCTTTGGAGGCGTCCATTTTTCTCACACATAGGCGCACACAAAGGGCGACCTTTGCCTGGCTGCAGGCCTCCAGGTGGGAGCCCGCGCTTGCGCTGCTGTTTTCCATGTCAGCTCGGGCTCTTCGTGCCAACGAGATCAGCTCCCTGGGCAACAGAAGAAGAGCCGCAGAGCTAGAGTCGCTAGAGCAAGCCATGTCCTTTTTTCCGCTCAATCCACCAGGCTTCAACAGTGCCATCACTGCTTGCGAGAAGAAGGACTCGGGCTTGTTGTCAAGTTTATATGGCCCGCTGATCCTGTTACTTGCGTCGAAACTGGAGCTCTACCTCAGGTGCCACATTCTCCACGCATGACAAGACATAGAAAGAGCATGCTCTTTGACGGCAGAGGGCACTGACAAGGAAAAGTGGCAGCTGGCTGCCTGGCTACTGGTCTACATGGCCCGAGAGGGTATCAGGCCGCTCCTGCGTGCTTTGCGGGGAGTGGATGGAGGGAGGAGCCCAACACTGCCTAGCCGCAGCCGTGGATCGGAAGGCCGGATGTCATCAGCTACAACAGCGTGATCAGCGCTTGTGTGCCGTGGCAAGCAGCCCATGGTTGAAGATTAATCGGGGGGCAGTACAGGAATCTTCTCGCCTGTGGCTACTTGTAGCATGTTGTTGCATCATGTTGCACTGAAACGAAGTTCAACGGCCGACCAGAAGGACCAGGAGATCAAGTCATCGTTCTTCTCAAGCCTCGGCGAAAGTTTGCAAGTGTAACACAAAAAGGAGCCCGCAATGTCATTAACGGCTTGGAATCATCTCCACAATACGTGCAGTACATGTACACTTTCCTATCGGGCGTTACCCCCAAAACCAAAAAAAGCCCTAAAGGCTTTAACGCCTACAATCCTGTACTTTCTGCAGGAACCCCTCAAGCCCCCACACCTTGGCCTTCTAAACCGTGCAGCCTAAACCCACAACCCAAAAAACCCTAACCGCAAAACCCGAAGCAAGACTTGTGATCGCGGCATGCAGAGTTAACCTGGAGATAGGATGTTGGATTTTCACCTGCCTGAAGTTGCTACTTAGTGCATCCATCATCTTGTCTCAGAACCCTATCATGAGCCGGTAACCCAGGAGAAGGGCCGCCACTGGAAGCTTGCCCTGCAGCTGCTGGTTTTGCTGACCCAGGCAGCCCAAGCTCCTCTAGCGCAGAAGCGTTGAAATAGTACCTCTGCTCCCAGTGTCTTTACGTCTTTTTGTAAGTCCTGAGTCGTGACACTACGGTCCAACCGTTGGAGCCCTTGGTGCAGTACCGTCAAGGAGGTGTCACTGCAGTTCAAAGTATGTTGTGCTACAGTTCGTTGCGGAGGTCGTGGCGCGCAAAGAAGGGTTCCGCAATAGTGGCATAAGACAGAAGGTGCGATCAAGGTTCTTCAATAGCTGTCACACATGCCTCATGCCTCGCCCAGCTGTTGCACAATGATTTTTCTCTGGAGGTCGCTGTCCTCGCCGACATTATCAGTGGCTTTCCCGCACTTCTGGCTATAGGAAGTCCTGTCTTGCCGAGAACCGGAAGTTCCGAAGGAAGAGCTGAAGGTCGGAAGTAGATCGCTTCGCTGAGCGCTCACAAGCTCACCACGTACTCTAAACTCCTGGAGCCGTGCCAGTTACTGCACAGTTGATATAGATTCTTGATTCGGCTGTGACTGCAGCAGGCTATTGCAGCACTATCAGCGCTTGCGAAAAGGATGTGCGATGTGAGAGTCTGCTGTGCCGTAATTTCAGGGTAGTCAGAGATTCATCACCGGTGACTGCCCAAGAGTAGTCCAAGACTTGCAAGACTCGTTTCACTCGTCGGTGGCGGACGACCCTCGTTGTGATGTAGACTCTCCTGCTGCCATGCGATCCGACCTTGGATAGTCTCGGAGCCTTGTCCGCTGCAGGAGAGCCAGTGGCGCACGGCCAGAAAGCTGCTCTCAGCGATGTCCCCGCAAAGGAGCCCTGTGCAGTTCAAAAGAAGCGTCGAGACTATGCTACTCTCCATATATATGTATATATACAGCACGATCAGAACTTCGTCGCTTGGAGAGGCATGTCGCCATACTCCAATTTTTGTCGGCTGGTGAGCTCTTTTTTGGAGAGGCTGCGTCCACCATCTGCAGCCTTCAATGCCGTGATCAGTGCCTGTGGAGCAGCCAAGAAGTCACTTGGTCCGTGTGTCGACGAAAGATTTGTTTTACGAGTTCTTCATAGCATTTCAGAGCCAATCGGTTGAGCCAATCTCCCAACCCCATTGATAGCCCTGGTCTAGCAAGAGGTGGCGCTTGGCCGTGTTATGCTATGCTGAGATGCACTTCAGCCAGGCCTGGAAGCGCGTATCGCATGGGTGCTTCATTGCCATGTCGAGCTGTAAAGCTCCAGTCTCCTGGAGCGAGGGCTAGGGTCCTTGTAACAGTAAGTGAGACCTCGAAGCCTTGTGCACAGGAATATCCTCAAGTTCTAAGTCTTGTTTATGCACCTGTCTTTGCTGCTTATGCGTGTCTCTGATGTTTTCCTCGGAAAGGTCCTCCCGGATGAGATCTCATGCAGCAGCACAAGCCGCGCCTGTGAACCACTGGGCCTTTGGAAGGCAGCCGCGGCCACAGTGTCCAACTCACTCCCACAGATTTAAATTCTCATTCGCGTGCCATCAAAACAGAGTCGAATCCCCGTCTCAACGCAATACTAAACCGTAATCGCCAGAACACCAGTGCAGGTCTCCGGCAAACTTCTGGACCAGCTTTGCCAAACAAGCAGTGCTGTCGCGGTCGGCAGCATTCTTCGCTGCTGTGCCGCTTGGCTTGGGGATCTCTGCGCTTGGACTTCGCGCTTTGTTAAGGCTCTGCCGTGACGCAAGAAGCAGAGCTCAGGAGGTGGCCCACACATGGCAGCCCATGCCTCGCATACTGGATGAGCTCCAGCTTCCTCAGCCGCATAAGAGGGCCAGGCGGCTATGGGGTGTTTGTGTGTCCCTGCTTCTTTCAAGCTTTTTGAGGGTGCTTTTCCGAAGGGTCCCGAATGATCCGAAATCCGGGGTCCAGCCGCAATCGTGCAGCCAAGGCTGCAGGGCCTAAGAAGCACCGGTCACCCAGGTTTGCCGGCGTGGCGCGCTTGCCTCCTCATGTAGCGAAAACGACTGCGCGTGCCGTGCAACTGGGGGTTGCAGTCATCGTCAGGCCCTTGCAGGCGTTGGAGGTAGAAAGCCTGCGCCAGGTTGAGTGGAAATCTGGTGGCAGACTGCGCCGAGGTGTTTCGAGGCTTCTTTGACATTGACCGTTCGACATGCTGCCCAAAACGCAAGGGACTGACGAAACTCCAGCCGGGGCTCAAGTGTTTAGCAGATGCCCAGGAATTGGAACAACTCATCTTCATGTCATCAGTATCTCAGCGAGATGTTTGATCTATTGTTAGCCTTGGTGAGACATCTCAACTTGCACAGGTCGGTCAGCTTTGGCTCTTGCCTTGTTCACTAGCTTGTCAGAGCGTCGACACCGATGCCGCCCATTTTCAAGAGCCGCTTCAGCCATGGAGGGCTCTCAACCGAGGTTCAGGCGCCTTGCGCTGCCGTTATGCAGGGGAGACTGCTGCTTCACAGACATGAATCCCGCCAGGAGCCCACCTCCATGATCATGGCGGTGGCAGGAGGCCGCTGCATATGAGGGCCAACTCGGGGGAGAGTCCATGGCCGAGCCTGCCTGCAATGCCAAAGCACGTTCAGGCGCCGCCGCAGCTGGTGGTCTTGCGTTTCTCCTCTGTCAGACCCGTTGCCCCGGGGGCATTACCGGTGACTAGTCTTGCCATGATAAGGGGGCCGGGCCGGGCGGGTTCTGCTAAACCTGTGTTCGCAGACGGGCATAGCGACGTTGCAGAACGTAGGCTTGTTGCAGAAGAAGATCAAGCAGCATTGAGGGGAGCGAACGCACATTCTGTTTTGCTGTCCCATCCGGAAAGGATGCGTTTCCACCCGCTTCAAAGGTGCCATCGGTGGCATGTTGGGGGCCATCAATCCCCTGAGCTTGTTTATGAAGAAGGATGAGAAGGACCTATGGCAGCCCAAAGCCAAGATATGCCAAGATTCTGAAAAACATGAGCCGAGCCCAGATGTTGAGAATCCTGGCCACACCGAGCCACACCTCGAGTTACAAGTACGTTTGGGTGTATCACGTACGTTAGCCGGAGGACGCGAAAGACGAAGAAAACGAAGCAGACAGCCTGAAGAAGCTGCAGAAGCAGATGCTAAGCTGTATTATTATTATTATGATGCGGTCATTCTCCACCTAGTGGCTCGGAGTGATGCTGATTGGTCTGGGTGATACCATGCAAGACGATCTGTCTGGCAGGGTTGAGACAGTCGAAAAGCAGACGCTTGACTGCCTTGTGACCTTGGCTTTGGGTGTGCCTCGGAGATTCGAGGCTTGAGGTCCAGCTCAAGGGTTCATAGGTGGCGTTTCATCACGGTCATATCGGGGCTTGGGATGAGGTAGTGCCAATGCCTGACCCGATGTTACCGTCGCTCATCAAGCCCCACTGGCTCCATAGACTCCATTCAGTGAAAGACAGTGGCTTTGAAGGCTTTGCAGTATGAACTGCAAGCTCACCGCCTTGATGGGCGCAGCTGCCGGTGCGGCTGCGGGCCATGCATACAACAAGCCGCTGGGAAGGAACATGCCAACCCCAGCCTATTTGTTGCAAGCGGCAACCTTTGTCGTGTCATGTGTGTGTGTGTGTGTGACTCCACTGCTGCTAACACTGCTCATGAGCTACCTTTGCTGACATCCGGCTGTATGGCAAACTTGCGAGGTTCCAGCAGAAAAAAACCAATCCTATGGGAGCGGCTATGGGAGGGGGCATGCCAATGCCAATGGGAGGCTCGGGCAGGGTGCTCTGCTTGGTTTGAGCCTGGTGTTCAGCTCAATCCACATGGTGGTGCAAGGAGCTCAGTTGTGATTGTGTGTTACCGTTATAGTAGTATTGCTGACGATTCTTTCTACGCTCAGCTGCCCGCCGCATTTGCCAGGAACTAGACTTCAGAAGCTGGAGCATGCAGAATGCGAAACTGATCTTTGTCCAGGACCGCTGGACGAATGGACGGCACCCCCCTTCTTCGTATTTATGAAGCAGTGGCCCGGCGACTGAATGGCGGGATGGGTTTGGGGCTTCCGCAGTGCAGACGTCTTCCTTGCTCCTTCGGGAGTGGCCGAGGCCGACGAGAGATAGATAAAGATAGCACAGCTGGGTTTCTTCATTTCCCCGCCACTTTCTCGGCTTGCGGCTCCACCAGGCAGCTCACGTCAGTTGGGCATGCTATCACTTTTTCCAGGCTAGAGCAGATGCGCTTGTGGAGTAATGAGGAAGACTGACGCTCCAGATAGATGCGGCGACGACCACAGGCTTGCCGACATGCAGAAGGACGTCAACGAAGCCTGCGCTCAAGTGCGATTCCTCGGCCCCCAGGTGAGGAAGCACTTTCAGGGCCGGTGACTCCTAGCAATCACAACATCTTGGAACCGTTTCGCACAGGGCTGACAATGCTTGTTTCCAGAGCCTACAGCCGGCAGTCATTGCAATTGTGCAGTAGCTTCACACCCATCATGGCTGACGATGCGCCCTGTCGCAGCCCCGGGCAGGTTTGCGAGCAGACTCGCGCCAATGACAAGCTAGTCGTGACAAATTTCATTTGAGCCATTGGTAAACCGATGGTTAGCTTGTCGGTGGCCATGTGCTGCCAGCCTGCTGGACAGCACATAGGACCCAGTGCTAGGAGTGGCTGTCAAAGATATGCGAGCCGGTGTGCCTTGCGTCTTAGAGCCTGAAATGCATGCTTCGACGAGCGTTGTTTCAGCAGGGCAGCGCCTGGCTCGCACACCAGAGCACTGTAGCGCGATGTAGTGAAATGTACGCAGATGCACCGTACAAAGAAGATACTGTGCATGTTGCGTTGTGGCTATCTGCGTCATGCATGGCCACAGTGGCTGAGCCAGTTCATCGTGGCATGGCAACATAGTTGTATCGTCTTCGTTACGGCATGATGCAATTTCCTACCTCGTCGGTTGTCTACGGGAGAGCTCTTGGGCCAGTCATCCCAGCCTCAGCGAGGACTGTTTCCCGCTGTGGCTCTCGCACTCAGCCTCCTAAGCAGGCTGCTTTCCAGTGGTTTCCTGACCGGACCGCAATCTAGTGACTAGTGGTAGCCCGACAGTAAAATCATTACAAGGCAGCACAACACATGTCAGGACTAACTATTGAACTCATGTCCAAAAGCCTTGAGCCTTCCCAGTGTCAAAACAGTGAACGGAATCGGAGCGTCAACACAGCCCACAAGTTGGGGCCTCTGTCACACGTGAGCTTGTCAAGGCCCTGTTGCCCGGACACACCCCAAAGACATCGCAGATCGGACAGACATGAGCCGGTGTCTGATGTCGTGGACAACGTCGGGAGGGGTGAGCCTGTGATTGGCTGTGGTTGGCATGCTTGGTCCATCAATGTCCATCTAACGGGGTGTCGCGAAGACCAGGAACATTGACATACGCCAAACGGCGCGATGTAGTGAAGTTGAAGGGCCCTTTCAAAGGCGCTTCCAAAACACCCGGTCAAGCCCCAAGCGTCAGGCTCAAGCAAGGGTCCGTACACCCAGTGGCGAATGCCAAGATGACCTGCAGCCCACACTCTGTGCCCAAGTTCCTGCTCGCGCGCATCGACAAACACAATTCCTGGCGTGATTGAACATGATTGAGCCATGGGCTTTTGTGCTTGAAGTAGTTCCTGCAGCGTGTGGCTTTGGGCTTTCCCTGAGCAGGGAGGACTTCTCGTGACGGCACGCAGCATTTATGTAAATGCCAACCCTGCTTTGACTTATAGCTTGTCGTCAAGATTCGACTATGACTATGCGCAAAGTTTGGAAGACAGCATTGCAAGCACACGCTGTGTTGCGTGAAACCACGATCAGCGGGATCACAGCGGCGTCTCACCGGTTCGACAGTCAACGAATGTCGGATAGTTGGAAATCGTAAAAGGTACGTATCACTTGGCTGTTGAAGGCTGCTTGTGAAACCGACCCATTTTGCAGTGCGCGTAGAGTGTGTCTGTATAGTGTGTACAGCTTGAAAGCACCCCTTTGACCGCAGGGGCCCCTTGAGTTCAAGCAAACGG